TGACAGTATTCTTATATATCTGCTTTCCTGACAGTATTCATATACTGTACACTGTGTGGCATCGGGTTTCCTCTGCATCTCTTACAAGGAATCTCCATGAGGAAATAACTATTTCTACAATTTTCTTTAAACAGTATTCTAAAAGGACACTTATGTGCTTTCCCTTACGTGAGACTGTGTTTTATACTCTACATGTGACCGTGTCAATGCAATCAGAACAGTTTTCACAATCATTCTTAAACATTAAAGTTTAACCATCACAAAGATCTTGTTCAGACTATTTGTTTTGGTGTGCCCAATGTGCTAAATTTTAATGTAGAAACGGTATTCTGCTCACCTTTTGATTGGAGGCCTTCAACTGTCTGAAAAGAGTCTCCTCTGATGGACACCGGTGGTCCCCACTCGGACACAGTCTCAGTCAGCCAATCCGGGTCACAGCACCATTTGTTAGCCCAATTCTTTAGTTGGAAGCTTGAGAATAACCCAGAGTGGATCAAGAGTACAAATATGATTATTGGTCACAGGCGAAGTAAATCAGTGCTGGGCTCCCACAAAATTCCCGGAGGATCTCAGTCAGTAAGAGCCCTGATTTCTGGGTGTGATGGACAGTTATCTTCTGGGCAGGACCTGCCTCTTACAGTAGGAAGACTGCACAAAACCAAATGTCATGGGCCAGTTAGCTCTGACATGAACAGGCCAGCTCCTAATTCATGCAGGTTTCAGTGGAATGTGATAAGACAGTCTGTGTGGATTTAAGAAAATAGGTCAGAAATTTAAATCAATCAAGTTTAGGAGTTTCATCTGATATTTCTGCCCCATTGCAGCTACAAACTGCCAGAAGTCAAAAGTCAGGACGTTGGTGGGATGGTGGAGACAGAAGGCCTCTGTGGCCCACTGCGTGGCCCCTTGGTCTGCAGTGGAAACCAGCACTACAGGATGAAAACCCTGGACTCTGTTGTGGCCACCGTCACCTGCTCAGCTCCCTGACACGCTATTTCACCATCTGAAACAGTTATTAATGCCTCCCAGTGCTCACCCACCTGTTTGAAAAGGTTTCAGGTTTACACACTGACAATCTAGCAGCTCCTCGTCTGACTACTCTGGTGAAGAGGGGGCGTTATTTATATAAATATAGTTAATTCTTCAAAATCCTTTTTTAAAATTCTGAATTCGGTTCATAGCAGTTTATTAGTCTGATTTCTTTGTTATAATTCATATCTAATAATCTACCAATATAATATATTTTTCTAATTAAATGATCATCTTTCATTAGTATTCCCACTCCACTAGTATCGTTTATCCCATTACTAGGATATAATTTTCCTTTTCCAAAGTTGTATTTTTTCTATTGAATTCTCATTCCATTACGTCTCTTGCAAGCATATTATATTATTATTTATATTCATAAGAAAATCCTCTTTTTTATTGCTCCTTAAACTGGCTACATAAAGCAGATAAGGTTCAGCTTTGAATGAAGATGTGCAGTCAGCCCTTAGCTCATTTTCTTGGCTTTTGTTTAACTTTTGGCTAATTGTTCCAGGCTCGTTCTTGTTCACATCTGTATGAGCTGACCCTTCATTTCAGAGTCAGAGCTGGGAGGGTTCAGACACATTTTGGGGTGAGTAGGATGCATTCTTTGCTGAGAGGGGCTCCCTTTCTGGCTCATTTGCTCTTCTCAGCAGTGGATGCAGCTTTGTTGTTGGTTGTTTCTGGGGGTAAAATCTCTGTTTCTTTGGGCTTCATCCTACCTCTGCTTTCTGCTCCCTCCATCTGAGCCGGAGCCCTCTCTGTGCCAGCTCCACAGCGTGGTCTTTAACCTCCGGGGTAGTGCCCATTTTCTGACCACTCCCCGTCAGATGGAGGGTTGGACCCGTTTTTGGAGCCCTCCCTACCTCTGAACCCCGTTCCAGCTCATTGTGAGCTTCATTAGCCTCCAGGCTGCTTTCCTCTGGTTCTGGAGCTTTGGGCTCCTCCTCTCCCAGCTCATGCTGAGACTCCTCCATACTGGAGTGTGTCTCTCTCTTTTCACTCTCAGCCATACACACACATTTACTGATCAGATGGCAGCAGACTGCACATCTCCCTCCACCCTCCCTCCTGCATAATGTCCATGTCCTCCACTGGTGACCGTTAAAGTCTGGGTTCTCTCTGACCAGATGTCCCGTCTGCAGACATATTCTGCACACTTCCACCTGTCTGTCATCTATCACTCTAAAGAGCTATTGTCCGTTTGCTGTGTTACATTGGGCAGAGTATGGGAGAGACTGCACAGCTTCTGTAAACCTTGCCCTAAGGAATCTTGTTCCATCCGTGATCCATGTTTCCAGCCACATTCTCCTTTTTATTTTAGACACAGCTTCCACTCCCCAGCCTCAGATTTTTTTTTACAATATTTCTTAATCTTAATCTTATACTATGCCACCTGCTAAATTGCCAAAGCGTGAATAAAACCTGACAAGCACAGCTTTACAGCTTTATTCCTTAGTGAAAGCTAGCAACACAAGGCTAACTGGCATGTGAAGCTTATTTGTCTTTCTGTAATATTTAAGGCAACACCTTGGCAACTTCAGAAAATGGCTAACCGACCAACTGCCATTGCAGTTAACTTCTTAGCTTCAAGCTAATTTAGGTTAACGTTTAGCATAAGTTACTAGTAAATAATAACTTACAACGTAACTATAAGACACACAGCCTGTATTTATGTGTGTACCAGCATTAAGGGAAAATACACGGCGTTAGTGGTGCGGCTTAACTCTAAAAGAAATGTAGAACTTCTGAAGTGCTAGCAGGTTGCTAACATTAGCTGTATGGGACATGTGGCTACTTGACAGCCATTCAGAGGAATGGGCAAGATTTCCCCAATCAACATTCACAAACCGATACCCGTGTTAAGATGGAAAACAAGTATTAAGCAGTGTTACCAATCCAGCATGTTCATAATATGACTTACCAGAGCCAGGCACAACTCCAGATCAACCCGCCCCAGACTACCCTCACGTGCCTCCTGTGTTAAAGATTTGACAACTGGCGCGTGGTAGTCACTGTGTAGAGTTCAAGTTCCCCTCCATGTCTGCGGGATTTGAAACTGACTTTAACTCTGCTCTTGGAGAGCTACTATATAGCTGGAAATACTGTATCCAGGTTCTAATAGATTTACTCTGACATACCAACACCCCAGTTTTTACTGTGAAATTGTATTTTGCGGCTCCCTTATTTGCTGTGGATTATCATTGCTTTATTCAGAAAAGCCAAGTCATGACCAGTCCACCACTCAGGGTCCAGCATTTATTTTGGAGTCAGCAGCTGACTTTGGCTGTGTTCCCTATGCTCTAAATAGCCCGTGTGACAGGTTCCCTGCAGCTTACAGCCACACCAGCCTGTGTGCGTCTGGTTTCAGAAATACCCTGAATGCATCGTTTGATTGCTGCAGCTGTGTTACAGTAATAGAGTGAGAACCTTTAGCTAATTTCAGTTTATTATTATTATTATTGGATTTTTTTATTAAGAATTATAAGCAAATTATATTGTTTTTTGGTGTGTTTCATCCTTCCCCCTCAGCTTAGCCTGTGGGGAGGCGCTTTTTGTTGTATTTTTCTTTTCAGGATGGATGACAGGGATTTCAACAGTGGTGGGCCGTCAGGGCCTGCAAGGCCTTCTCTGCTGGCTTAAGACAATATCTGAATCACAGACTGATGTTAATTATATTTTGTCCATGAGTACTTATTAAATATCTCTAAGTGGTCTGTCCACTTCCTTTAATAGCTTTTCTCCTGGTTGTGCTGCTTCCAGACATGTATTTTCATATTATAGCATTTAACCAATCATATTTCAGCCATCATTTGTTGCTAGGCAGGTTCAAAGTCCAAGATGTCTGCCAGGAGGCTTTCACAATCCGTTCTGCGGCACCCCTAACAGAAAATACATGTCGATTAAACTGTTGCTTTAACCAATCAGATTTTGGTTAAGTTGGTGACACCAGGGCATTCTAGAAAGCCTTAGGCAATGTCACCGTATTCACACCCGCTGATTGGATAGTCAGATAATGTACCAGACAAAGCTAGCAAACAAACTAAAATATAGTTGTGTTGTTGTAATATCTATTTTATCACCCCACAATGGCTGAAGAAGGAGAAAAAATTGATTTGGTGGCAGGTTTACTGTCAGGGCAATTTTCAAGACGGACTTTTCGAGAAGTGACTAAAATGTTGCTTTTTTCCTAAATAATATTTATGTATCAGATCGATGTCCAAAAAGCTGGATCGGGACATCTCTGCTGTATTTTTTTAAACATAATAAGATGATTTCTATAACCATAAAATAGTTATTGAGGGGTGAATTGAGGGCGGCACGGTGGTGTGGTGGTTAGCACCGTCGCCTCCCAGCAAGAAGGTTCTGGGTTTGAGTCCCAGGGGACCCAGGACCTTTCTGGGAGGAGTTTGAATGTTCTCCCTATGTCTGCGTGGGTTTTCTCCGGGTTCTCAGGTGTCCTCCCACAGTCCAAAAAAAAAACATTCCAAAGTGCCCTTAGGAGTGAATGTGAGTGTGTGTGGTTGTTTGTCCTTGTGTCCCTGCGATGGACTGGCGAACTGTCCAGGGTGGTTGTTTGTCCTTGTGTGTGCCTCCTGCCCGTTGACCACTGGGACCCCATCAGGGAAGAAGGATGATAATGGATGGATGATTGATGGATTGATTCAGACTGAGCACTACTAAAGGCCTAGTTGTGAAATGCATGGTCCGCCACTGGATTTGAACATGGACCGGTAAAAGGAAAACGAGACACAGTGGTAAAAGGCAAAATGATGGTAAAAGACATGAAATATGATAAAGACTTAACTATGGTTATGGAAGATGTCGTGTTTTAGGAAGCATACGCTGAGTCACTGTATCATAGTTCTCTGTTTATTATTTATTTATAGAAAAAAAAGCTACAATAAACAGAAAAACATTTTTAAACTTTTAGCATAACATTTACATAAATCATTTCATTTAATTTCCCTTAGCTACAAATTCAGTCTATCTGGTTTCACAACCCGTCTCCCAAACCTGGTTCTAGGAGTAGGTGAAGATTCCTCAGAACTCGGTGGAACTTGTTCTGCAACAACATCACCTTCCGGTACTTCTGGCTCTGTCGAAGGCTCCATGGCAACCAAATGACGACGATTTCGCCTAATCAATCCATGGGGTCCTTCCACGATGTATGACCGTGGAGTAGAATGACTGGTAACCACTGCTCCACTTGTGCCTTGATCTTTAATCCACACGCCTTGTCCTGGAGTAAGTTTACTAAGGACTCTTGCTCTGTGGCGTGCATCATATCTCTCTGCATCCTTTAACCTTCTCTCCTTTTCTTTTTGAGCAATGATTCTACTTTTTGGAAGAACTGGCCTCAACAAAGATGGAAGTGTTGGCACAGTCGTGCGAAGCCTTCTTCCCATAAGGAGCTCTGCTGGACTGTACCCATTCCAAAGTGGTGTTGCTCTGTAGGCGAGTAAGGCTAGATATGGATCAGCTGCTTTCTTCAACAAGTTCTTTATGGTTTTAACTGCACGTTCAGCTTCCCCGTTACTTTGTGGATATTTTGGGCTACTTGTAATATGGCTAAATCCATATAACTTAGCAAATGTAGCAAAAGCAGCACAGGAAAACTGAGGACCATTATCTGTGATCAGTACTTCTGGAATGCCGTGACGTGCAAACACAGATTTCAGGTGAGGAATCACATCTGCTGATCTTGTGGGACTTAGTTGAGCAATTTCCACAAATCTTGATGCATAATCCACAACCAGAATATAATTTTTCCCTTGCAAAGTAAACAGATCGGCCCCAAGTTTTTGCCATGGTCTGTCTGGATACTGTGATGGCATCAATGGCTCTGTGGGATTTTCTCTCTCTCTGTTGCAGGTGTGACATTTTAGAACCAGTTCTTTTAGCTGCTGGCTCAGTCCAGGCCACCACACTGACTGCTGTGCTCGTTCTCGGCATTTCACCACTCCCTGGTGTCCCTCATGTAATTTCATGAGCACATCATTTCTCATAGTTGAAGGAATAACAAGTCTTTCCCCTTTTAACAAAAGACCATCATTCACTGTAAGAAATGCCTTTTCAGCCCAATACAGTCTGAGTGCTGGTTCACTGTTGTAGTGTGTAGGCCATCCTTCCTCACACAGATGCATCACACGGGCACATATACTGTCCCTTTTCAGCTCCTGTCTCAGCTCTTCAAGGTAGCCAGTGCTTGCAGGTAAGTTTTGAATCACATTATCTACATAAATATTTGAATCTTCAACCAACTTTGTTTCAGTTGTTGATAAGTTTTCTAACATAGGGGCACGTGACAGTGTGTCAGCTGTCCACAGATGTTTCCCTGGCACATATGAGATGGAATAGGAATATCTCATGAGACGCATTCTAAAACGCTGAATACGTGGTGGAAGATCATCTAACATCTTGGAACTCAAAAGACTCAGAAGTGGTTTATGATCTGTCTCCATTTGGAAATGTTTGCCAATGAGATAATTACTGAACCTTTCACAAGCCCAAGTAAGACTCAAAGCCTCTTTTTCCACTTGTGCATATCTCTGCTCAGTCTGTGTTAGAGATCGTGACACATATGCAACAGGTCTCCACTCCTGACCCCACTTTTGGAGCAGCACACTCCCCAGACCATAAGCTGACGCATCTGCTGAAACTTTACATTCCCGGTTTGTATCATACATGGCTAACACTGGCGGGGATGAAAGCAACTCTTTCAGTTCTTGAAATGCTCTAGCTTGATCAACTCCCCATATCCAACAGTTTTTCTTTGACAAGAGATCCCTCAAAGGCTTGTCTCGCTCTGCTAACTGTGGAATAAATTTCCCCAGCTGGTTAACCATTCCTAGGAAACTTCTTAGTTCACTCACATTTCTTGGTTCTTTCATTTTTCTCACCGCTTCCGTTTTATTTGGATCAGGACTGACTCCATTAACAGAAATAATATGGCCCAAAAATCTTACACTCTGCTTTGAAAGATCACATTTATCAATGTTCAATGTAATTCCGGCTTCTTGAATCTTTCCAAGAACAGTATACAAACGAGCATCATGCTCCTCCTGTGTTCTCCCCCACACCAACACATCATCCATGTGGCAAACTACACCATCTAATCCCTCCGTAACCTCTGTTACCATTCTGTTCTGGAAATGCTCAGGGGCAGAAGCTATACCGAAGGGTAGCCGTTTAAAATAATAACGACCAAAAGGTGTAATAAAAGTTGTATATTTTTCAGTATCTTCCGTTAAAGGGATCTGCCAGAACCCCATATTAGCATCTAATTTACTGAAAATGTTAGCTCCTGCTAGCTTACCGAGTGTTTCATCTACAGAGGGAATAATATACTTCTCTCTGCAAACAGACTCATTCAGCTTGGTGAGGTCAACACATATGCGTACAGCCCCTGTCTTTTTAGGAACAACCACCATTCCTGAGCACCAATCAGTTGGCTCCTCAACTCTACTGATCACCCCCAAACTTTCCATACGGGACAGTTCTTGCTTGACTTTGTCCATCAAAGGAAGTGGAATCCTTCTAGGTGTCTTTAATGAAAATGGTTGAGCTCCTGGTTTCAGTTTGATGGCATAAGGCTGTTTCACCTCTCCCAAGCCACTGCATAGCTTTGGATAGCTAGTTTTTAATATTTCAGCAGTTATCTCATTTAATCTAGCTACAAGCTCCAGCTTCTGAATGGCTGGTCTACCCAAAAGTGCAGTTTGCAGGTGTCTCATAATATACACACTTTCCTGTATCTCTTTTTCTCCTTTTTTCATTAACAACTCAGCAACCCCCACAATATCCAATGCATTTCTCCCCGGTCCCAGTAGCTGCCTGGTAGCTTTTTTCAGAAGGGGGGGGCTCTTGTCTCTATAGATGTCTTTATACATAGCGTATGGCAGAACCGTAACATCAGCACCAGTGTCAATCTTGAATGAGATGCTTATTTTATTTATTTCAACATTCACCCTCCAAGGTTCATCTCCCTTTGTAATACTGCCTAAAAACAAAGAGTCATCTTCTTCAACAGCATGTACAGTCTTGAGCGTTCTACACACCCTCTTATAATGTCCCGTTTTCCCACATACATGACATTTTTCCCAATTTGCTGGACAGTCACGTTTGGGATGGGATGGAGAGCAGCCACACTTATAACATTGAGAAATCTCCCTTTTATTATTTGTAGTAGTGTGCCACTTAGGTTGGTATTTATCCTTGGCATGCTTAACACTGCTTTTGTACACCCTGTCGACAGACTTTTCATTTTCTGTCTCCGATCTGATGCCACTACGCAGACAGGATTGCTGCCGTTTCACCTCTTCACTTTGTCTCGCCGAATTAATGGCCTTTTCCAGTGTCAAATCTGGGTCGAGCTGCATACGCTCAGATAATCTTTTATCCTGCAATCCCACCACCAGTCTGTCACGAATCAGTTCATCATGTAGCGCTCCATAACTGCGGCTTTGTGAAGTCGAAAGACTCTGGCGGCTGGATGCTGAACGTTGCACATGGACCGGCAGAAGCGACTCCCTGTACGTTGTCATCAGCCATGTCTCCGGTAGAATTGCAGCCTCCGATGATTTACAGCACTCCTGACACCATGTCGTGTTTTAGGAAGCATACGCTCAGTCACTGTATCATCGTTCTCTGTTTATTCCCCGATCACCAAACATCCAGCATACTTAATCATCACAATCAGCCTCACCTGTGGACTCTTAAGCCTGACGCTTTATGACGTCACCACAGGTGGCCATTTGTAATCTTTGTGCATAACATTAACACCACAGAAGGAAGGGCCCAGATCATTTGAAATCACTAGTGTTGTACAGTAACGTAGTAAAAATACTTCACTACTGTACTTAAGAAAATCTTGGAGTACTTTATACTTTCTTCAAGTAATTTTTTTGGATACCTTTTTCTTGACTATATTTCTGAACTTAATTGCATCCTTTTATTCCGTTACATTTTCAATGTTTGGTTTAGTTACTCGTTACAAAAAAAGCTAGAGAGAAACTCAAGTGTTTTGACCCCACCGGCTGCAACAAAGTGGGGACTTGCCTTTGTTAACCCGATTCTTTAGTTGGAAACCTGAGAATAAACCAGAGTGGATCAAAAATATAAAAAATGACATTTATTGGGTCACAGGTAAAGTATTTCAGCGCTGGGCTCTTCACAGACAAAACCTCTCTCTCAGGGTCTCAGTCGGCAAAGAGCCCTGAGATCTGGGGGTGATGGGTCTTTGTCTCCTGGGCTGGGCACACCCCTCAAAGGAGGACTGGACACAATCAAGTCCTATTGGCCAGTTACCTCTAAGACTAACAAGCCGGGTCCTAATTCATGTTGATGACATTGGAATGTGGTACCAAATGATGTGTGTGTGTTTTTGTGTTGACTTAAAGATGTGGATCTAATGCAACAGAGAAAGAAAAGAGAGAAAAGAGAATCTGTGGACACAGCCAGAGACTTCAACACAAAATATAGTTATAAAAGAAAATAAAACAATCAGTAATTTATATAGATCATGTGATAGCATACAATGCTAAAGTGAGTATTTTTAGCCAAATCCTAACACCTGGGCTGGGTCATCACCACGAATAGGAAACACCTGTTTGGCTTCTCCCAGTAAACACAAAGCCAGTCTCAGTCAGCAGCAGCCTCACGGAGGAGGAGACGGAGACAGCGGCTGCAGGGATGTGGGACTGAAGTGCAACAACAGCAGCATCTTCTTTACTGGTCTGATGTACGCCTCATTTCAGAACCGCCTTTTTTTAAACGTTTTAAGGTAGTTTTACAGAAAAGGTCTCCCTATTCAGATGCTTAATAAGCTGCAGTTCCCTCCCTGTTCTTTTTCTTCTATATAATGGTCAGTCGTGAGTGCGCCTATAGTTTGGGAAGTACAGTAATTCTAACGACTTTTTTTCCTTCATTTTCTGTACTGACTATTTATTTTTAGAAAAGTTTACAAAAGAGGTTTCAAACTGGACTCCCTCTTCAGATGCCAGATAAGCTTCTGTTTTCTTCTTTTTTTTGTAATGATGGCAATAACAGCAGCAACCTTTTTTGTCTAATTTTTCTCCAAGTGGTGTAATGTACTTCTGACCTCACTTGAGGGAAAAACTGAAGGCTTATAGAAGCTATGTATTTTCTGTCTAAACCTGGGGGTATACTAAGAAGCTGGCTCAGTAGTAAAGCTGGTTAAGTTAACCCTGTGGTAAAGCATCTAATAGCAGAGCCAGGAGACCTAATTTTCTTAACTAAATGATACCTGCAGGCGTATCTATTAGCAGGTTTACCACTTCCTGTAGGTTAACTCAGCCTGGTTTATCACTTAACCATGTTCTTAGTATACACCCCATGGCCTAAATTCCTACTGCACTTGGTTGTGTATAGCACTGACCTTACTTGAAGAAGGAAAACTGAAGGCTTAGAAAAAGGTTGTATTTTCTGTTTAAACTTGGTCTAAATATCTCCTTTTCATTACTTGAGTACAAGTAATGTATAGTACCTATACATTTACTTTACTCTGAATTTTCAGTACTTTATACAACACTGGTCAGAGGCAACTGCTAAGTTAAACATTCATTAATTCATTCATTATCCATACCACTTATTCCCTGATGGGGTCACAGGGGGAACTGGAGCCTATCCCAGTGGTCAACTCCTAAGGGCAATTTGGAATGTCCAATCAACCTAACATGAAGGTTTTTTTTGGGACTGTGGGAGGAAGCCGGAGAACCCGGAGAGAACCCACGCAGACACAGGAGAACATGCAAACTCCACCCAGAAAGGTTCTGGTTCCCCCGGGACTCGAACCCAGAACCCTCTTGCTGGGAGGCAAAAGTGCTAACCACCACACCACCTTGCCACGCCTATATTAAACAAATGACAGCTTTTGTAAAATCTCAACTGTCCAAAGATGAACCTCTTGATGAGCTTTACTATAAGACACAGATCTGTTCTCCTTCCAAACTTTAAAGCAGGGGGGAAAAATCATCTGTTGTATTGATTAGTTTGAATATGTTTTAAAAGAAACAGCAACCGGGCTGGAGCTGCAAAAGAGATGGAGAAGATTGCTGCCTGAATGGTAGTGGACTAATTGGTTCTATTTAGGGGAGAAGCACTCACAGCAGCAGCTGGAGATGAAGAATGGAAACATTGTTCAAACAGGTAAGACTGGTGCATCATCTCCTCATTCTGACTGGGTTTTACATTCCACAGTAAATCTGAAGCAGCTGTTTGACTGTGCTGGTGTTTCCTATAATGCTGCTTTCACACACATCACCATATCAAGTCCTTTTAAACCATGAAACCTTTCTAAACTAATAAACGTTTTCTCAGCCAACAGTAAGAAGACAGACCCCATAAAACAGGTGGTGGTCCTCCACCTCCACCACTGACGGAGGCCTATATACAGTCATGGAGAGAAACATTAGACCACTTGGTGTTCATTTTAATCGCTAAGTTTCTAAAGGTACATTTCTTTCGACAAATTTGACAACAGAATAATCTCAGAGGGGTTTTTTTGGGATCATTTTCCTAAGTGAATTATGTTTTTAAGATCTGCATATGCCTGTTTCAAAAACTATTCACTAGAAGAAAATTCATCCTCATAGACATACCAAATTACATGAGGATTTAAAGTAAGAGCTGATATCTAGCCAGTTTTCCATGGTTTCCTTGATAATGATAAAAATTGCTTAAGTTCTTCCATCAACAGCTGTGACATAGTTCTCTTTCAAACTTCTCTCTAGGATGAAGAGTGTGAGGAAACATTGCTGCCTTCACAGAGGGGGTTCAGGAAGGCCTATGGAGGCAACGTGTTGTGTTACTGATGCTTCACTTCCTATTTCTTAACATTCTGGTGAAGTATTCAGTCCTCTGAAGTATCAACACATTCTCCTTGTTAGCAGAGCGTTGCTGGGCAGCAGCTTGAGAGTCCCTCAGCTTCCACTGCACAGATAGATGCTCAGTAACACCAGAGCCTCTTTCTGTGACATTCACATGTGCTCCTGCTGTCCTCTGTCAAGCTGCCTGCTAGCCCCTACTCCCACTCACATCAGCAGGGAGGCACCAGGTGGAACTAATCTCCCAGCAATTTGGGCGTGCCAGGTACCTCTAAGGAAAAGGACCAAGAACGGCTGTATGGCAGAAATGTAAGCAGCTTGTGTTTGGAGACAGCCAACATTCAGCTCCACTAAAGTGATTGTGCAAACAAGTCCTTCTACAAAAACTCTGAAAGAGAACCGACTATTAAATGGCTGTTCATTGAGTGAAATCCAGTAAGAATGTAGAGGACTATCCTTTTCAAGTGGGGAATTGCACAAGAAGTCACATTAATACTTGACAGTGAAAAACCGAGGGGTAAAGACTGGAGGACCAAGTAAAGTGCCCAGCATATCCATAGACTGTTTCCTGTCCTGCTGCTGAACAAAAATGGCTGATTCATTAATGCTGGAGCAATTTAAGGCCGCGAGAACATCAGCAAAGCGTCAATTTTCCCGTCTGGCCAATAATGTGCTACGAATGCACACAATGATGTCTGAGGAGGAGCTCAGAGACAGTTTTGTAAAGCTCACAGCAGAAGCCGGCAGAGTTCTTGAGGCCAATGATGATGTCGAGGGACAATATACTGCAGAAAATGCAGATGAAGAGGCCTTAAGTGAGCACCAAAGGTCTGACTTGGACAAAACAGCCACTGAGTGTGAGAGACGCCTGCAAGAGTTAAAATACCTCATACAAAGGACATTGTGGGCAAACTATGGGGAATATGAACTGA